AACATTAGAAAACATAACTTCATTACCCATTCAAGCCATCTCCAGCCATTATAGGTGTTTTTTGTTCATATCTTATTTGGCTTTGTTGTGTGATGTACTTATTCATAGGATATACTGTGTGTGTTAGATCATTTTTTTAGGTTTTTAATCTTCAGTCATGACCTAATTAGTTTTGTGACCATGTGTAATTAGTAAAAATTATCATTATATTTAAATTTTCATAAATATTTAAGTTTTAAGAAAGTTATTCTACTTCAGCTATAGACAGTTTCTTTTTTTGTAGTTGAGTGTACTACTATTTCTGGCATAGATATTCCATGATATACTAAATATATTTAATCATAAGTTATGTACTAAATGAAAAAGTTTTATCATGTCTTTTCTAGGATTGTTTACCATAAAATGATAGTGTTGATATCTCTATAATGATGTGAATACTTGATTTTGCTATTGCTAAATAGGAAAAGACATGAAGGAGACCAGTGTTCATTGGTTTCGAAAAGGTCTACGCCTCCATGACAACCCAGCTTTGATGAAAACACTAGAAAAATGTGGAAATTTTAGACCTATATTTATCTTAGATCCATGGTTTGTGAAAAACATGCATGTTGGACCCAATCGCTGGAGATTTTTGCTACAGTCCTTAAAAGATCTTGACAACAGTTTAAATAAATTGCATTCAAGGTACTGTTTCTGTCTTTACACTATACAGAATGCAACTACGTATAACGTATTTGACCTAAACACTGATGTTAAAAAATCTACTTTTGAGTTTCGTAATGAGCTTATTTTGGCAGATACTGTTTCGACAACAGATAGAATTTTATTATTAGATAAGTTTTGTGTTAGGTGAACAGATACAACTTTATCATGAAATAAGTTTTGTATATTAGGTGAGTTTTTAGAAACTATTTATATGTAATATTTTAAAATGGTTGTGTGTTTATTTTATAGTGCATTGTTTCTCTCATTTTATGGGACCTCACTTTGCTAGTCAATAAGACTACACACACTTTTGAACAACCTTATTTATTTTGGGACATATTGTGTTTTTGTGGTCATTACCTAATTTTCAATGTGGAAAATTGAATAGAATTTTACAAATATTTAGTTTATAATAGTGTTTCTTTCTAGGCTTTTTGTTATTCGAGGGAAACCACTTGAAGTATTTCCAAAGATTTTTCAGCAGTGGAATGTTAAAACACTGACGTATGAGGTTGACACAGAACCTTATGCTATTGAAAGAGATGAAAAGGTTGATCAATTAGCCAAAAGAATGGGAGTGACTGTGAAAAAAGAAGTTTCTCATACTTTATATGACATTGAGAGGTGAGATTACTAATTTTACCATCAAAAATTCCAGTGCTATTTGTAACTTTATAAATTGGAAGTCATAAATATGTAGACAGGCAAAACATCCATATAGTCATATGTGTTTGTTGCATTCTTCAAACTTATTACAAATACTTGTAGAAAACTTTGCTAACCACAAAAGATAAAACAAAAAGTGACCAAAATTTTAAAGCTTTGTTCAGTGTAGACATGTTATGAGATTATTTTGAAGGTGGTAATTGGGATTCTTAATGATATTTTTATTGGAAGTTTTCAAATCCTGGTTAAATTTCTTTCAAAATAAATGAAGTGCTTTTCTTTAATCAATAATTTATATCTGTAACCTGGATATTAGCATCAGGCCTGAAACTGAAGAAATTATCTGTTCTGAAGTTTCTTTGGATTGTGTCTTATATTACTTACTGTTTGTATATTATTATTATTCCTTTTATTAAAAACAAACAAACAAACTTAAGTTACATTTGTTAGCACTTAACATTTTGGCTTTGGGTCTTCTCTTATGTCAAGTATCTTGATGCAGAACTTTTAAGTACAATGATGTTCAAGTATGTTGTCATAAGTTAATGGTGCACCCGAAAAAAAAATGAACTCATGATGGGAAAAAATAAGTGAGAGTTTAGAGAATGCATAGGTTCCTCAGATCTGGAGAGTTTTAAAGTGCTCTACAAAGAGATCTGAGACTCTTCTTGGTTTAAAATGTCTTAAACTAAACAAATTTTTATCTCGTATTTTTCTCAAAACTACTAAAAGCCAAAACAAGAAAGACAGAATCTTTTAGGTGAAAGAGCAACACTTTATTTACAAAATAAAAGAATATTGCTTTTTACTCTTCCTGATAACTGTCAAAAATAAACGTATGCTTGTTTCAATTCTATACCTCATAACTATGAATTACTGATTAATGTAAATATATAAAATGCAAATGTCACAAAATTCAGATATTTTGTTATGAATGTAAAATTTTGAAACGTCATGTGAGATATAACTCTACCTTTTTACGACTGATAAAATTAATTATAAAAACTAAATTTTTATCGATCTTGCAGTCTGCCTGAAGAATAAAACATTTAGGAGAGATATAAAGCTTTCCAATTATCCAAAATTCTAGATAGACTACTACCTCAGCCAATGACAATTCTGAGGACTGTTCATGACTAGTAGTAACATAAGAAGAACTTTTAAAATTGCAAAAGCTTTGCTGGGGGAGTGGTAGTATACTAATCCAACATTCATACTGAAACAGCTTTGGTCACAGAACTATTGGTATTGTATGGCACACCATGCACCCTTGAACCTAGGGATCTTGGAGATATCAGTGATATCTGAACGGCTATACAAAATAATATACAGAAAAGTATTTATCTGTCTGACATCTTTGGGCAGAATCAAATGAACTTATGGACATATTGCTACCACCAGAGGGAAGAAAAACTCTTAAGTAAAAGTTTGAGAACACATTAACTTCTCCTAATAAAAAAGTTTTTTCTTTGTAAAGCTGCCAAATTGGGCAACTACAAAATCTTTATTTTAACATCCAGTCTGCAAGTCAGAGACATTTTTGGTGGGTTTATTCCAAAACAAAGCTTTCTGTTACTCTTTTTTTAATTCTGAATAGAGATTTGAATGTCTTATGATAACTGGAATCTGAATTGTGCACCACTATGGTCAAATATGCACTGGTTTCCAGGCTATGAGGGAATAAAACCCATACTTCCATCCAAATTCCCACAAAAAACAGCAGTGGCTGCACATCTTGTGCAATAACTGATCTGGTTTCTGAGCTTTATAAATCTGTTTTCCCTGTGATTTTTCCAAGTTCTGTTGCTAGAGGTCATCATCTGATGAGGAATTCCAAGATTGATACACAAAATATTTTGATATTACTGAGTTTCATACTTCCTTTTTATGAAAATGCATACACCATCAATATGTGCAGAGGCAGCACTCTGGCATGCGTAATCATTGTCTTTATTGTGATCGTTTATGCTAAGAATTTTAAACAAATGTTTGCTGAGTTGGTTGCAGGAGCTATGTGGTACGTGGAGGATGAGATTCTAGCAATAGTAGCAACAGTTGTTATAGCAGAGCAGCATGAGTAACAGCAGTAGCAGGGGCAGTAGTATAGCTGTAGTAACAAGAAAGCATCACCAGCATGGCACGTGAGGAAATATAAACCAGTCAATGGTTTTATCAGTTTTAGATCAATCGGGATCTAATATTTATAAGTGCTTTTATTTGATGGATCATGGTATACCAACATAAACATTTCTACCTTTTTTGCAATAGGAACACAGTCTGGCCAATCCCTTAAACTTTGTATCTTTATGTCCGAACACTACTGAGAAGTGAATTCTTTTGGCAGTATCAACAGAACTACTCTATGACAAATATTACTATTTAATTAGATCAACAGAACCACTCTATAACAAGTACTACTATTTAATTAGATCAACAGAACCAATCTATGACAAATACTACTATTTAATTAGATCAACAGAACCACTCTATGACAAATATTACTATTTAATGGTATCAACATAATCACTAGTAACACTCACTACTAATTAATGGGATCAATAAAATCACTGTGCATTCTCTAGCAAACTTTTTCTTTAACACCCAGTCTGTAAATCAATGATACCAAATTCAGGGAATTGGGTGGATAAGAGGGGCACCACTGATTCTACTATTTAGTTAGAATAGATAAAAATGTATTCCAAAAAAAAGGTTTGATCTCTTAATTTAAAAACATGCACGCACACACACTATCTAATTAAATAGTAGTACTTGTTATAGAGTGGTTCTGTTGATCTAATTAAATAGTAGTACTTGTTATAGAGTGGTTCTGTTGATCTAATTAAATAGTAATATTTGTCATAGAGTAGTTCTGTTGATCTAATTAAATAGTAGTATTTGTCATAGATTGGTTCTGTTGATCTAATTAAATAGTAGTGTTTGTCACAGTGTGCGAAATTTAGTAGTCTTCTAATGTAACATAGAGCAATAATGTCAATGCAAAATTGTTTTGGGAAAATATAGAATAGACTAACTTGATGTATTTAATTCACTAACGAATGTTGTTTTGCTTATCATGAATACAAGTTGCCATGCTTGTAAGAAAGCTGAATTAAATCATTCCTAAATTATCTATGCTTTCAAAATATGTACTGTAGGTCACAACAATGGATGCCAGAACATTTATTTTAGAATTTTAGGTTTAATATGCTTAATTGACTTGTTTTTTTTTATAACTAGTGGTCAGTTTGTGCGATACAGTGAAATAGCCCTATCTATTTTTAAAGGATAAAATCTAAAACAATTGTAATTTCCGTTAAGCATGATTTTATGTGTTTGAGGTTATCAATCTGAAACAGCAAATCTGACTGACCACCAGGAATGTTCACTGTCCATCTGGATATTTATTTTTTACACTGAACACAAAGTACACTCAAATTATTCTAAGATGGTAAACATTGTATGGTATAGAACATAAAACTAGAAATGTGTAAAGATCTTTCTCTTTTAAATGAAAATTAGTTAGTTGTGAGGGTTGCTTTCTTAATAAACAGAGGGCATGACTAACATAAATATAGTTCTAGACGAATATTTTATTCATAAATGACATACAACAGAAATCAAAGACAAATACTCATTATCATGTATATTAACAAGACTGAAGTTATTGGTTAGCCCTAAAATTGATATATTTTACATTTTCACAGAAACATACTATAGTGTGAAATTCACTGATTATAACCTTTCTATTTGTCATTTGACATATATGATGCAGATATTGTGTATTATTCAAAATGATATAGAATATAATATTTGAAGAAGATAAATAATGAAGGTAGTATTAATCATTATGTATATTTATAAAATATGGAAATTAAGATTTATTACATAATATATTTAAATTTATTGATGAATCATCAGTTTGAAACAAACATTTTGAATATAAGTGGTATATGTTTATCAAAGTTAGTATAATTAACTTCTGATCTAAGAAAGCTGTGATATAGATCAGAAATATAAATTAACAGTGTAATTGATGTAGCTTTAATATAACATACTATTGCAACTGGATGTATGTAAAGTCATAAAACAACAACTATACTATATAGAATGCATTGATTCATCACTGTTAGCGATTGTTTTTTGGGGTTTTTTTTGCTATAATTGTTATACTTTATTTTCTCTAACTCAAATGCAAAGTAATAAAAAGATTTAAATCAACATTTTTTTATTTTTTATTTTACTGACATGTCACAAAATTAAAAATATTATGCCAAAATTGTACATTTTTTTCATTCAAGCTTTAGAAGTACATATTATTTTTTATTATACAATAAGAATTACTTCTATGTTGAAATAAGAATAGTTCCTTCAGATTAAAATAACTTGCAATATTTTTTGCCATAGGCTTGTGATGAAGAATAATGGCTCTGCTCCACACACTTACCAAGCAATGCTAACAATGTTAAAAAAGATTGGTCCACCACCTAAGCCCGTTGCCTCCTTAGATAGTTTGAAAGGTAATTCTTCTTAAATGTTCTAAACATTGTTAACTCTAGATTTAATATATGGGCTAATAAGCATTTTAAACACCTTTTTTAAGACTATTTACACACCAACTTGCTTGTGGGACCATGACGTTTTAGTTATGAGGTCTCTAACAACATAGGATAATCACAGACTAAAAAAACAAAATTGAACAATACATCATCAGTATTACAGTTAATCCCTTTAATTGCTGCTGGATACTTGTATGTATCTTACATTGGGATAGGAATATCTTTTTTATTTTTCTATGTAATTGTTAAATTACTTCATGTACATGTTGAACTATTAGGTAGGTAAGGTACATACAAGTTTGCTAAGTAGAAATAATACACATAGTGCTTCACTTGTGCTCTATTCATAAAGCATATTTATGAGAAGTATCTCTATACTGCTGATAGTTTTAATGTATAATTCATAATGATTTGTTCTTTTTTGAGCCTTTTGCGATTTAATTTTCCAGTTATTTTCAGGTAATAATTACATTTTTCTCTTGTGTATAATTTATACTTCTATTTCTTTCATTTGTGATAAACTTTAGAATGTTAAAAATAGTTCAAGTTAATGAAGTTAAAATATATATATGGCTTATTTTAATAATTATTATTGAAATATTCTTAAATGCACATTTCTCATATGTATGTAGAGTGTCTGAAAAACCTTTTAAGGTTAAATGTATGAATTTGTGCATTTTAGTGGTAGCAGTCTTATATTGTGAGCTGTGTGACATCTTCATCTTAAACTTAGAAGTATGTCATCTCACTGTCATGAAAGAAAGAAAACCTGACTTTCCAGGTTTTGTAACAGAGTAGAAAAAAAAAGTCATCAATTAAAGAGAAAAGCATAAACATAGAAATCAATAATTTTATTCATATTAATTTCAGGCTGCTCAACTCCTGTGGAAGAAAACCATGATGAAAAATATAATGTCCCTGATTTAAAAGAGCTGGGTATTCATGAAAGCGATTGTGGCCCAAATTTATATTCTGGTGGAGAAACGGAAGCTCTGAGAATAATGAATGAAAAACTAAGCAACAAGGTATGGAATAAATAGATTGTTATTATAATAAAGTTTATTAAACAAACAGTGATACCTTTATTGAAAGTATATTTTGTCTGTAATTGTAGTCATTCTAAATTTTTTGTGCAAGAATCTCATATTCTAAAACTATTGCATGTTATAATACCACTATAAATATGGTAAAACTGAACAACTGTGCTTTAATACTGAATTGTTATTATACTGGGAAATCTTGGGAGGCTGAACAAACTTAAGAAATAACTTTAGTAAATGTATCAAAGGCAGTATTTTACAAAAATCTTGGGGTAGGGAAAAAGCAATATTAAGTGGGCTAATAAATATTGTGGGGAGTGGGGGCTCAAATTTAATTAGCTGTTATGCTGCTTATTGAGTTTCAAAGCAGTGAAATTTAAAAATATCATGGTTTTACATAACATTGGTTTGATTGACCTTGAAGTACTGGTAGTCAAACTGGAATTAAGTTAAAATTACTTTTGTGTGGAAACATGCTCAAAATGACCTTATAATTCTTTTATATTTTTTGTATATTTTTGAATCCTAATCAGCTGACAATAATTTTCTGTGGAACAACATGTGTTAGGCATAAATTTTGACATTGGCACTCTGTAGGCAGTATGATGCCAGTTAAAACTGATCATTGTTGGGAACAGTATGTAATAGTCCTTTCCAATGCAAAATATTCATAGATCAGATCATAAATATATTTTGAGATTAGGGATTTTGAATTTCTAAGATGGGGATACCCTTTGTATTTAATGACACTGGAAAATATGAGAATGTGGATGAACTTGGTGACCCAGGACCATCCTGAAAGAGATCTGCAACAAGTCGTACCCCAGCTGTGGTGTCGTATAACAGTTGAGAATTCACAAATACAAAGGCCAGTGGAAAAAGCTGTACATCTGGCCCAGGCAACAGTATGAAAACATAATAAAGAATGGTCTCCATCTGAAACAACAATATGAGTCATTTATACAAAAGCTGCTTCCATGACATAGCTGTTCAATCTGTGCATACCTAAAGCAGCTGGAGAAAAAACAGATATTCATGCTATTCTATTTAGAAGACATAATAGTAAAGTTGCTGCCTATGAATTTCAGCATAATCATACTGTTAAAATTGGTGCTGTGAAACCATCATCCTCATACACTAAATAGATCATAGAAAGCAGCATAGATGAGTAGTGTGTTTTGGATATGGCAAGCTTCTGATGAAGCATTTTGCAATGGAAACTGTGCTGTGGAGCTATTGTTAAGATGCACTGTTGTCAACTAGAGCATAATTGGATGTAGGAATCAGAACTGTAGTGACATGGTGAGGTTCCAAAATTATTCTAATATAATGTACTCAACATCTGTATTTCTATAAAAGTTCAAATGCTTCAAGTTGTTTCCATATTTTCCATATTAATTCTTTGTGTATGTGTATAGCTCTTTTGCACATGTTATGACATTTTATAGAGTTTCATTCAAATTTAATTAAACAACTTTATTATCAATCTATTTCAATAAAATTAGCATCAAAATGAAGTTTATATTATCTAAGTTTTATTTTCTTAACTAGCAGAGACCCGCAAAATATTTGTGGCCAAATTAGTATCTTTATAGCAACAGTACTTCTTTAAGTACAGGATTTCTAGAGTAATACAAAAGAATTCTAATCACAGACACTGAAAACTGTAAGTCCACTTGCCTTAGTCCTAACATTAGTTAAGCCTTTATTAAGTAAGCCTATATTCAATAAAGAGATAAATTAATACTGTAATTTGTGTACATTTATTTGCTTTAGTTCAGTTAGGGCTAAACCTTAACGCGCTTAATACTATCAATGAATAATCTAATATTATTATACAACCTAATGTTAGACCTTTTTAAAAACTTTGATAAGCTTTTAATATGTTGTATAAAATGTCTACTAAAGTATATTTATGTCCTTTCTGCCATAACTCAATGCTTTAACAAAGATATGTTTTCAAATTGTGAAAAAGGTGCAATTTTTTGTACATTGTAGTTCAAATACATCTTTAATTTTTGATCAATTGAAGATGACTTGCTTCTAATTGACAGGAAGCCAAACTACTTAAGTTACTTAATAAGTTGCTATGACATCATTGCACGACCGAGAGACAGACAAATACACAATGTGTTTTATAGTATTAGATTTCAAAGAGAAATATTTTTACAACATTCTCAGTCATTACTTGTCACGTGATGTGCAAGTACTCTCACTTTTAACATTTCAGTTTGTATAAATTCAATCATTTAGCATCTACATTGTTTATGTCATGTAGACACAATCTATAAATAATTCTAAGGTCAAATGTACAGTTTTAGCATCCTAACTTCTCTGTTTAGTGAGATATCAATACATTTTCCTAACCTATGATAGAAGACCAGCCCATCTATCCTTAACTTTCAAGATAGTTTTTAAAACCATGTGATGTTATTAGACATACACTTTTATAATCAATAGAAAGAGTTTATTTTCGATTTCAAGCTTGCAATGGTCATTGGTGGCAGTAGACATTAGACTAAAGTACTGTGGGAAGCGAAATGTATGCTCATATGATTTATTAGTTTTCTTTAAACGTGTTTATAGCATACTTAGAATGATAGTTAAATTCTAGGTGTTTTCGAACTTTCTAATTTAGTGACTTGTGTGTTTCAGATAAAAATTAAAATATAAAGTTTATTTACAAAAAAAAAATATTCATATAGGACATTCTAGAAGATATGCAAATAAAATAAGAAAAACTGTAAAATGAAAAGAATTATTTTTATTCTCAGCATGAAAATCACCTTTCACTAGGACTAGTCAGAGTCCAAGTCAGACTGACTTCATAAATTCACAGACAAGTTTTTTAATAAAAATACTTTATTAAAATCGATTTTTGTGTATAACAGATTGTTAATGTTTACTAAAAGATTGTCAAATTTTGTGAAAATACAAATAGAAATTCTAAGTCATAGATGTATAGTTACAAGGTTGATCATTTTGACCAAGCTCATATAAGGAGGGTTAATTTTAACTTGAGCTTTCCATCTAAATTTGCTTTAAAAAATCTTTATATTTCTTTAAAATACACCAGTTTCTTACATGCTTTGTTTTTTTATTTTTAGTGACCTGATAGTGTCAGCCCAGTAAAATACACGCATGATGTTAATGTGTGATTGATGTTTTCAGGGTTGGCAGTTTAAAATAGTGAAAAGTTGTAAGATGTTTTATTTAGTAGTATATTACCTTAATTTTTTGTTTTTTTACTACTCATATTTAGTGTTATATGTTCTTAAATGTCACCAATACATTAACATTCCCATTAATAAGCCAGACTGGTGATATTAGTTTGAATGATGACACAATGGAAAAACTGTTTGCTTTGATTCATTTTGGTAAATTATTCCTTTTTTTTACATATGCTTAAGAATCAAGATTAGAATAAATACATGCTTAAAATGTAATTATAATCTAAACTATACATAGTCCTATACCTATTATGGTAGCTGCTTATTAGTATATTATATGTCTTGGACTTTGTGCAAGTTAAAGAAGTTGTTTAGTAACTCCTTACGTTTTTTTTAGAACCATCACCTAATTAGAAAAATAAACTTGTATTTTAAGTTACAATACTAAATAATGTTATCATATTATGTTGACAATTCTTTGTGAAATTTCTTTGTTTATTATGTGATTAAATCATTTTATTCTAGTTAGTTTGTTTGTTTTCACACACCTAAAATGTATTATTTTAAAGTCAAATTAGCCATTTAACATTTTTAATCTTTATTTTCATGAGTTTAACATGTTATTTATATTTACATGCTGGAATAATACAGTAATATGTATCAAAGTTTTGTGTTTATTTAAACAATTTTTGTTTCCTTTATTGAAAATCTTTTGACATCCTTTGAAAAGGTAACTGATTATGTAGGTGTAGGTAAGGGAGTAGATTTGGTGTATTTGGATTTCAGAACTCATTTGACAAGGTGCTACATAAAAGGCTTGTAAGTTAGCAAATTGGATAGAAGAGTGGCTGGAGGGAAGAAAACAGAGGATTGTTACAAATGAAGTTCAGTCAAACTGGATTAATGTCACAAGTGGGGTACCTCAGGGCTCAGTCTTCGAACCTTTGCTCTTTTTGATTTGTATCATTGACATAGATGAAGGAATGGTCAATAAATTACTTAAATTTGCAGATGATATTAAGGTCTTGGGTGTTGCTAGCTGTGAATAGGATGCTGCTGATTTACAAAAGGATTTAGATCATTTAGTGATTTGGGCAAATAAATGGCAGATAGGTTTTAATTATAATAAATGCGAGATAATGCATGTG